ACTCATCATCTTGCTCCGAAGCCAGTGTGGGTTCTTCACCAGTACTGATCGGCTTGATCAGGGAGACTCTGCACCCCCGACTCGTGTTAGCGCCTATGATTCCGAGCAGCAAGTACACTTTGCTACCGAGAATTCTCCAATGCTTTACATCGTCATCACGTTGCTGCTACCTGCAGCATCAGCCCTGTCTGGAAGCTCAAGGATTATCTTCGACAATCTCAGGGCTCAGGAGAGTGGGGTTGAGCTCAGCTGGCGTCCGCTCTATCTCTCAATCTTCAGACTTGATGTATACTTCTGAAGAAGAGCTTCAGCACTTCAGTCGATTCGAGGAAGAGCTACAAGCCAGGCCTATGCCGTTGTCTTCCAATGAGCTGGCAGAGCTGTACGAGGAGACAAAACCAGCTATCATGCAAAGTCTCGTAGACGAGGTCAACTCTAAACAGAATCTATGGACGGCGTCCACTGAACAAGGGAGATTCTACGGTAGGCTGGTCGGGGCACCATCGGGAGCTGTGTGAACTAATGCTATTCTATTATAGGCGTGTCGTCTGTCACCTTCAGGTAGATCCCTCGGTGATGCTAAGAAGCTTTGCGGGACATTCCTTAACGGGACTGAAGAGCTCGAGGAGAAGGTCTATCCGGCGGAGGAGCTTGTTGACATTCCAGACAGCTTCGATGCCCGCGATGCGTTCAAGGAGTGCAAGGACGTCATTGGCCACGTGAGGTAACTGATATCCTTCCGCCCTAGAGAATTGTCTTATCGGTGCTAACGTGCTCCTCATTTGCAGGGATCAGTCGGCTTGTGGAAGCTGCTGGGCGTTCGGGACAGTTGAGGCATTCAATGCCCGAGTCTGCATCAAATCGGGCGGGAAGCTCAACCAACTCCTATCCGCCGCGGATATGCTCGCTTGCTGCAATATCGGGCACTTTTGCTTGTAAGACACGTCCAAGCCTCCTCGGCTGCTCCCAGCCAAATTTCCGATCCTGACTCGGTGTCAGATCTTTCGGTTGTAGTGGCGGCAATCCTATCACATCGTGGACTTTTCTTCACACAAATGGTATCGTCTCAGGTAAGCAAGCTATCTGTTTTCAGTTCTTGTTGATTCTACCGACTCTTCTTACTCAGGTGGAGGATTCGTTCCCGAGAAAAATATGAAAGCAGCCGATGGCTGTTGGCCGTACAACTTCCCAAAATGTGCTCATCACCAAAAAGAATCCGACTACAAACCTTGTGCGAAAGTGAGGGGGACAGCAACGACATGTGTTCTGAGACTCTATCTTATAAGGAAATATACGACACACCTTCGTGCTCGAGCAGCTGCCCCAATGCGAAGTATGGGACTGCTTTCGACAAGTAACGAAGGATTGAAAGTTGTGTGTCGCGACTCGTCGTCTCAAGGGATCGTCACTACACTGAAAGTCTTTTCCCGAGTCGGTTCGGGAGCACAAGCAGCATCAAGAAGGAGATCATGACCAATGGGCCAGTACGGGCTGTTCCTGCATTTCCGAGCATTCTTTATATCTACCACATTCTTCCTCAGACTTCAGCTGCATTCTCTGTGTATGAAGACTTCTTGTCCTACAAGTCAGGCGTCTACAAGCATACAAGTGGCGGATTCCTTGGGGGCCATGCTGTTGAGATCATCGGCTGGGGTACCGAGAAGGGCGTTGATTACTGGCTGGTTATGAACTCCTGGAATGAAGAGTGGGGTGACCACGGCACCTTCAAGATAGTCCAAGGGGACTGCGGTATAGACGATATGATCCTTGCGGGGACTCCAGCCATAAATTGAGAGGAGTCACTGACGTCTCTAAGTGTAGGGCTTTATCTTCTCCAAGGCT